TGTAATTTTGTGCAAAGACCGGCACTGAAACATCAATTCAGTAAACTCAAGCAACGCATTTAGGCCAAGATGTGTAGAAATGTACTTGAAAACCCTGAAAATCCTGAAATACAACAGATAATGTCCACTCCAAAACCCTGAAAATCTAAAAGCAGGTACTAGCACTTTCGATCTTTTACATTATATAAGCTAAGAAGGCTTCCTTGGATATTGATAATATAATTGCCACCTCGTTCCCTGCCTAGTAATCCCTTGAATGCTTCAAAACCTCTTCCTGCAAATTAGATTTGACATGACAACTAGCATGAGATACGTTGGTGATTGTGCACATGTATATAGCTTTATGGACAAAGCAATGATGGGAGTATGCAAAATCATAAATTGAATCCTTATAAGCTATTCAACTATCTCAAGAATATCCATTTCCAAAAATAAGATATGGCACACACAATCCAACCCCTTTACCAAGAGCACAAGGTGCTTCATGCAGGAGCAATGTTGTAATGCGTCTACTAAAATTAAAACTGTATAACAAAAAACATAGTATGCAACAACACGACTTTCACCATCATGGCCATCACCCTTTGGTTTTCTACCAAATTTTCTAATGTATACCAATATTTTAACAGCAAAGAGGAGTTCTACGTCAAAGGTCATCCTCCTTAAATACAAGCAATATAATTGCACATAGTTAATATATAATGTATTCAAACAAGTATCCTATATAAATATATAATGTGAAAGTGAAGGAACCAACCTCAAAAACAGTCTTCAAGTGATCCAGTTCCTTGTCTAAATCGTTGATGGCCTGATTATATGCCTGCATTGGTGAAGATTGGCTGGCAGTGTGTATCTACAAAATACAAGTCTTTTGTCAGAGAAAGAAAAAAAAAAAATTACAATTATTAGGAATTCCGTTAAACTGCCAGTTACATAAAAATCACAGAAAAAATATATTTAACACAACAATGAACAACCACATCCAAGTATTAAGGCCTACAAGACCCAAAGTTCAGGATGTCAGCTTAAGCAACTCTACCTAAATGCCATTTTGCAAAAACATAGAATTCCCAGCAGCATGGTTGTTTACAAAGCCAAACACACCCCTAACTCAGATATGAAGAAAATTAACAAACCTCCAAATCATAATAAATCCCTAACATGAACACTCTTGTAACTATAAAAACACAATACTGTATGCAGATATCAAACTAAGGAACATAATAAAAACCCTAACTTGAAAAACATCATGCACAATCAAGTAGGAGAGATGGAGAGAGAAAACTAACCCTAACAATGATTTTGTACTGAAGAGGGTGAGGAAGCTTATATCCAGCAAAAAGAACATTTGGGTCTCTGTGCAATTGCCTGAAAACCCCCAAAAGAAGTAAAATAAGATACAAATTCAAACAAATATTAGCAAAAAAAAAAAATTTATTTTTGTAATTTGGGCATAAGTAATTACATTCGAAGAATGTTTCCAACAGTGTGATCTTCTCTTTCTATTGTGAAAGAAGCTGCATTGATAATCTTGGTATCTCTCTCATAAGAAACTCTGTAGATAACAAGTTGTCAAAGCAAAGTGAGATGAAATACAGAAAAAAGAAAGAAGAAGAAGAGGAGATATAAATCAAAGTTATTTTCTTTACTTTTTAGTTCCTTCTGGAACAACGAAGCGTTCATAACGATCTGGAGCATTCATTGTTCTTCTTCTTCTT